CAACTGGAAAGCACTCAGAGGTGTATTGCCGTATGCTAGTAATGCAATGTAAATGTTTGTGTTTGTATCTTTAGCTTTAAGCATTAGTTTTTTTCGCGATACCTACAACTTTTTCCGCAAGACCATTCGACTGGGGATATCCAGGGGAGGAAGTTCTGTGTTCGAACCTCCACTCTTTAGCGAATTCTTTGAATTCAGAGCTTGAAATTTGACTACCGTTGTCTTAGTCAAGTATTTCAGGTATTGACATTCGTAACATGTGTTTCTGAAGATTGAGAATGACGGTTTTTGATGTAGTGTTTGGTAAATAGTCACCTTCAAAGAGTCTCAAAAAGTATTCTATAGTCAATAGATACTCTTGCTGCTACTTTTGTTAGGTCGGTCAGGTAATTCTGTGGTCATTAGCGGTTCTTTTGTGTTCGCGTCGCGGTATAAAGACATATGCTACATTTGCTAACATATTTTTTTATTTGCTTGGACATGCCTGGCCAGAATAATGAATCATTAGCTAGTTCAAGTGTCTTCGTAATTCCCATGTGACCTGTATGAACTTTCTATACAAGTTAATTTCAAGGTTTTCAATATAACAATCGTATGACCTCGAAATATTAGGTCATGCTTACCTCATCGCGGTGATTCCAGAAATCAAGATTGATTGCTCGCACTTTGCTCTAGATTCTGGCCAGCCGTTTAATATAGTATCTTTCAGCGTTTTCATTTTTGCGTCTTTGCACGTTTTGGCTTATTTTTATTCGTTGGTCGATCATGTGCAATTGCTTTTTTAACGGTATGCACGTAATAATCATGGTCGTCAACATATTAAAATATGTATCAGGGAGACATTGCCGTGATAGGCAGTTACTGACTTGTATTTCTTTACGATTAACTGATATTTGGACAGAGCTAGTAGCATTCTAGTTAATCTAGGCGATGTTCCAGACATTGTTTTTTTTCATAATGGCAGATATTGTTTTGTGATCGCAGTGTACGAAAACGTTTCTACCATAAGTGAATAAAAGAAACCGTTAACATCCGAACAAAATACCAAGCATTTCTTTTTCAATGACAGCATTACCGATTTCAGTTTGCGTCAGGCTTTTGCTTGTGAATGCGATAGGTCTATCTTCTTGAAATAGACAATAAGCAACTCCTAATTTCGAAGCGTCCGTTTCTAGTTTTTGTCGGGTCATACTGGTGCCTTTGTTAAAATATCTTTGACCTGAGAAAATGCTCATTTATGAACATGATCCCAAATAAACTCTGGATTTTTTCCTAGAGCGTAAGGGGGCTGTAACTGATACTAGATTTGGCGCGAATTTAGAAAGGTAATTGTGCATTCGGGTATGGGCAATTTCATGGTTGCTTCGGTCTTTGACGGGTCAGCTTTTAACCCACTTTCTGTGATGATATGACCAAAGTATAATACCGATTTGGCGCAAATGGTGCATTTTTATTCATTAAAACGGATACCTTGCTCATGCGTAATAAGACCTGTGTTAGATGTTTACCATGTTCACATCTGGTGCTTCCCAATATTTAAATAAAAATCAACAAGAGTTTGTTTTCCGTTTATTCCTTCGAATATCTGATTGACCTTTTGAGAAAATATATCACTTGATGATGATATACCGTATGGTAACCTTAAGTACCTGTATCTACCGAAAGGAGTGGCGAATGTTGTGACGTAAGACGATTGTTTGTCTAGTTGTACAAACCAATATGCATGAGTACGATTTAACATGCTAAAGTTTTAAGCTCCATCGAGCTTTGCTGTTACGTCATCAAATGTTGATGTGACATAATGAGGTCTTCGTATTGCTTCATTGAGCTGTTTTGGGTCTAGGCAAATACGCAATATTCCATTCGGGTTTTTTACCACTACAATGGGGTATACCCAGTCCGTAGGTTCCGTCACTGGCGTTATAATTTCGTCTTTGACCATTTGCCGAAGATCAAGCTTAAGTCGCGATTTGAACGCTTCCGGTACACATGTCGTAGGTATAATTACTGGAATAGCGTCATCAAGCAGGTGTAGTTTGGTTTTATCAGGGAGTATGCCTACGCCCCAGAACAAATCACCGTATTCAGACATAACTGATTCTTTAGTCATGTACTGAGTATTTTGGCAGTTTGTCGTATGTGAGTTTAATTAACCCAAGGTCAATGGGTGTCTGCAATCCTATAAGTGGTGGCGCGTCACTGTTAACGACATAGAAGTCTACAGTAACTTGTGCTCTACGATAGCTACAGGTTAAACTGATCTTTCCTATAACTTTAATTGTATCATGTGAGTACATGATAAGTTTAGAATCGGGGACCTGCAAAGGGAGTCTTAAGCTGGGCGATTAAAATTGCGCTAAGAGAGTATGTTAACGCTGGTACCTGTTTCAAGTGTGAAATTAATGTTCTGGCATTTCGGGCCAATCTAAATGTTCTCTCTACCTCTGATTCTTTGAGGGGTCCACTGAATATTAATTTGATATTTATTTTAATTTTTTTCCATGTCGTAGGTAAATTCACACTGTCCCAGTTTATGTTTAGTGGGTTAATTCCAGAGAATACCATTTTGTTAACTTTTTTACTTAAGTTCAGTAAATATAGATTTGATGAAAATTTCAGGTGAAGTTGAATTTAATTTCCATTACTTCTGACACCGTGTTGTATGTTTTGTATTAGTGACAAGTATATTATCGAGAATATTATATCCAAAATGAGATGTCCAGGTAAAATATAAAACTGTATAATTTTAACTAGTAAGAGACAACAAGAATACGTCTTAATATTCCAAGATTTAACACACAAGTGATGTTTCATGTAGCATGCTGTAAAGGCGGAGCTTATCAACAACTAAAGTATGTTTCAAGATTTATCAATAAAGAACAATTTCTATAATCGCTTTGAAAAAATAATGAGCCTTATAAAGACTGTTCAGCATTCGTTATGTTTTTTGTTTAAATACTATTTTCGTGCTGCGATTATAACCTATAACACGGGTGTTTTCTTAACCTAGTTAAATTATGAAGCAATTTTCACACAGAAATAACGTTATTACATATATAGAGTTCGGTTTATGATCATGTTTAAATTTTCAAACGACATATCGATTATATAACATTAGGTTTACGATTGTATGAGAAGATCATTTCAAATTTAAAACGAGGGTCTTTTGTTATACCAGACCTGCTTTTGTTATAAATGACTGGCTCTGTTCCATATATTGATTTTATACATAGCATTGCCATAACTTCATTGAAAAACAGTGTTTAAAAAGCAAATTGGATATTAGAAACGTGAGTTTTGATATATTGAGATATTTCTGATTATTATCCTTTTTGCTTCCAGATAATTATCTGAATCATATATCGTTTTATATGTATAAAGCTTTCTATGTAAGAAACACTTTTCTGTATAATTAAACAAAATGTTTGTCCCAAACGCTGCCAGTGTGTACTTTACTGTTTTTTGTTTTGTTTCTGACTAAAGCCTATCTGCAAGATATATTATCATCTATTAAAGGCAGATTAGTCATTATTTCATATCGAAATTGGAGAATCAAAACCAATAATACATGATACAACAATGTTATTTGCTCTAGAAGAGACCACTTTCTGTTTTAATAACCTTGAACTTTCAAACATTATACGATGTTAGATAAGATTAAAAATAAATGCTATATTTTGTTACTGGAATGTACTAAAGCCACTGCAGCAATATATCTATGAAATAGTTTCTTTGATTAGGGAAATGGCTGACCAACAGGATATTAAAGTAGCTTTGATAGTAGGGACAGCTCCGCTGTGGGTGCCGGTAGCCGCCGCAGGTGGCCTTGTTTATGGTGTAGGAAAAGGTAAACGTGATGTCTCAGACAAAATTGATAGAAACAATAACAAGTACAACGAGTTGAACCAATGAAAATATCACCGAATCTTAGATAAAACATACGTAGGCGAAAATGTGACATTTGTGCATTTTCATTTATCTCGTGCGCACGAGATACTATGTCGTGGCCACGAGTTACTAAGTCGTGGCCACGAGATTATTAAGTGGTTCGCACGAGATACTTTGTCGTGGCTACGAGATAATTAAGTCGTGCACACGAGGTACTATGTCGTGGTCACAAGTTACTTAGGCGTGGTCACGAGATAAGTAAGTCGTGCAAACGAGATGCTATGTCGTGGCTTCGAGTTACTAAGTCGTGGCCACGAGATAAATAAACGACTTAACGACGCACGACTTAATTATCTCGTGGCCACGACTTAGTAACTCGTGGCCACGACATAGTATCTCGTGCGTACCATTTAATTATCTCGTGGCCACGACTTAGTAACTCGTGGTCACGACTTAGTAACTCGTGGCCACGACAGAGTATCTCGTGCACACGAGATAAATAAAAACACACGCATGTCACCTCTGTACCACCTTGATGTTTGTTAACATTAAAAACGATAATATGTATCAGAGGTTTACACCTTTGACTTGTTTGAGTTGAGGCTTGTTGATGTTAATACTTTTGTAACGATATGCGATGCAACTCATTATTGAAACATAAGATTTTCATTAAGTTTTATAATTATTATAACATATACACGCACGCGCAATGGTCTCAAAACCGCCCGCGAATATAAGTCTTTATTGTTGAAATAACAATGAAAAAGATTAATGAAAACACGTTAGAAAGAAGGCTTTATCAACTACTGATACATGTAAATATTTATTTTTTGAAGGTTCTTTATTACATTAAGTTCTTCGCTTCAGGCATCATGTCTGCAGAAGACTTCGAGAAGAAGAATGGCTCATTTGGTTCAGTAGCTTGGCCATTCATTGTTGGTTACAACATTATATCTGGTCCATTGAAGGGAATCAAGAAAGTGGGCGATGTGTTGATAGGGAATTAATGGCAAAAAGTGAACTATGTATTATCTAGTGTAAGTATTTTGTATTTTGACAGTATTTCTTCACTCACCTGAAGGTAAATGTTACGAGAAATGGCATTTAGCTTTTTTCAGAAACGTATACAATGACGTTTGGTAATTTCAATATCCTTCTTGTCTGTAACATTGGCTATGGCTTGTCATTAATTTGATTTATGTCTTTTTAATTTAAAGGTAACTCACCGGCAAATAAATTTCTTGAGCTTTCTTGACGTGTTGTTTCAAAATGGAAAAATATAACATATAAGTAATAGAACATAAGTTTGTTTATTTTGAGCGACAAACAACTGTCACTAAGTTTACTTTTTTCTTTTCTTAATTTCAGGGAATGGCTTTTATGAAGATCAGTCAATCCATTACTACAAAATAACATTTTTCTTTATCTCTACCTGATCCTTTTCAATTAATTTTCACATTAAGTTTTCTTTAATTCATCACAGTTTTATCAGTGCATATATACTAAGGTATCTGTCGTCTGCTAGCGCTTCATTTCTTTTAGAATTTTTTTTATTATTATACACAAATTGAATTGCACAGTGGAATTTGCATTTGATATCAAATAAATTTCGCCTTTATGAATAACATTATGATAACCAGACAAGAATACATAAACATTTAAATGAAGACCAAAGGAAAGCTTTTGAAGTGTTGATTCTATCCCATTGAAGATATTATGTAAACATGTCCTAATCAATGTGCAAGTGGCATTGATACGAAAATTATGGGTATGTTAGTTCTCGGTGTCAAAATTTCCACCGGGTGGTAATATCGTCGGATTTTTGCATGGAATTTTTCTATCAAAACTGACTATGACAGATCCTTATTTACACGTAAATTACCCCAGAAAATACACCAAGAACGGACATACCTATAATTTTCATACCCGGATGTTGCATACCTTGTCTTTAGCAATATAACAGTATTTGTTTTTATTTTATAATTATTTTTTAATATATGGATTTTTTATTGCATTAATAACAAGGTTAACACTTTTTAGGTCAAATCAATGCCACTAGCACCTTTGCTTTGATATTGTTAAATATGAATATGACGGTCTACATCTTATTACATATGTTCCAAACATTACATGTTGCTCTTGTTTGTTTCTATATTTAATTTACACTTCACGTTGCACTACCAATTTCTACGTCAGAAATAATGAATTATACAATGTGTTACTTTTCCGAATCATTTCTACAGAAATCAAAAACAGGTTGAAATGCATAATTTATTCGTACTATTTACATTTCCACGCCAAATATTTTAAATTTACTTGTCCATTGTTCAAACAGTACAAAACTGTTCATCTTTTTTTAAAAGAAAATTTCAAAATATGTAGCGGTTGCTTGAATAACGATAAGCTGAAGTACAGACCATAACAAGACGGCGCGGATGTACCAGCTGATTTTGGTCTGCAATAGTTGCTTGTGTAGATGCATTTGCCACCAGTAGACTAAGCATTAAACATTCACAAATATATTGTAAATTATTTTTTACTGATTTACAATTCTCCCTAACAATATTCATAACATTTCATTTTTTGCTGTTTTTCTGTCAAGTTGATAAAGTGTTAGTGATGCTACTGAAATAAACATTTATGTAAGATTTCACCGTGCCGGGTGTTTTTTATTTGTTGTTCAACCATGGTTCTGAGTGTTTAAGCAAAAAAAAAATAAAAAAAATGTTTACCAGGTGGAATTACATCAAAAATAGGTATATTCATAACTGAAATATTAACACTGATCCAAACAGCATGTTCAAACAAATCAACAACAAGAATGTGAAAGCATGTGATTTACACAAACGTTGTTCTACAAGAATCAATCAAGACTGACGATTTTCTACTCGAAGCGTTACCGTATGTTTCGAATATATGGTTAGATTTCATGATCGAAACCCGTACCAATAGCTATTAGTTAGTTAGTTTTAAGTATTGATGGAGTGTAAACAATAAAAACGGAAAGTATCTCCGAATATACTTTTATAGCTTTAACAGTGTGCTAATTCTGCTAAATAACTTGAAATTTTGCATGATATAACAGTTTAGTTTAAACCATAACAACACATTTTCTTTTTGTTTCCGGTTGATAACATCCTGTTATTTACGAAGGCAACAGAAATTTTACATAAAAATAAATTATGAAAATAAAACTATCTATGCATTACAAATGAGTGCATTATGAATGATATTAAATGTTACCATTAGCAAATAAAACAACTAAAACAGTATGGTATAATCAAGAGAACAATCAAACGCGCATGTATTTATGATAAAGACAAACATACTTAACATTAAACTTTAACAAATCATTGTTGGCAAACATTAAACTTTAATAAAGCATTGTTGGCAAAGGAAAATACTTTGTTCCTGAGATGAATAATTTTTTTCGAGGGATAATTGAGGGGTCATTGAATTTGTATTATGATCTAAGACTTGCGCATGAAATGATTCAATATCGGCTGAGTCTTCCGGACATTTGCGTAATACTGACCGATTTATTCGATATATGCTGTCGTCAACATCTTGTATATGATAGGAGTGGTTATTGTGTTTTCTTTTACTATTTTCCAGCGTTTCCAAGTTTTTCCTATTTTAATGCGTACTGATTGATTCAAGGACAAAGGTGGCAAATATTTTGCATTTTTGTCGTACTTAACCTAGTTTTTGTCTTTCGATTTTTTTCATAAGACTGCGCACTTTTGAGTTATTTACTTAAATGGGTTCAAGCGCTTTATTTGTAACTGGCACAATGGATTTTATTCTCCGGCCAATTAACAGTTGACTGGGAGAATATCCGCACTCAAGAGGTGTATTGCCGTATTTTAGTAATGCAATGTAAATGTTTGTATCTGTAGCCTTTTCATTAGTTTTTTCGCGATACCTACATCTTTTTTCCGCAAGACCGTTCGACTGGGGATATCCGGGGGAGGAAGTTCTGTGTTCGAACCCCCCACTCTTTAGCGAATTCTTTGAATTCAGAGCTTGATTTGACTACCGTTGTCTTAGACAAATACTTCAGGTATTGACATTCGTGACATGTGTTTCTGAAGATAGAGAATGACGGTTTTTGATGTAGTGTTTGGTAAATAGTCTACTTCAAAGAATCTAAAATAGTAATCTATAGTCAATTGATACTCTTTACCGTGAAACTGGAACAGGTCTGTTGCTTTTTTTGTAAGGTCGGTCAGGGAAATCTGTGGCCATTAGCGGTTCTTTTGTGTTCGCGTCGCGGTATAAAAGACATATGTTACATTTGTTTACAATTTTTTTATTTGCTTGGACATGCCTGGCCAGAATAATGAATCTTTAGCACGTTTAAGTGTCTTCGTAATTCCAATGTGACTTGTATGAACTTTCTATACAAGTTCATTTCTCAAGGTTTACAATACTACAATCGTATGACCTCGAATTATTAGGTCATTTCTGTGCTTACCTGATCGCGGTGATTCCAGAAATCAAGGACTGATTGCTCGCACTTTGCTCTAGATTCTGACCAGCCGTTTAATATAGTATCTTTCAGAGTTTTCATTTTTGCGTCTTTGCACGTTTTGGATTATTTTTATTCCTTGGTCGATAATGTGCAATTGTTTTTTAACGGTATGCACGTAATTACCAAGGTAGTCAGACATATTTAAATATGTATCAGGGAGACATTGTCGTGATAGCCAGTTACTAACTGGTATTTCTTTACCAGGAATGTGCTTCACGATTAACTGATATTTGGACAGAGCTAGTAGCATTCTAGATTATCTAGGCGGTGCTACAGATATTGGTTTCATAATGGCAGATATTGTTTTGTGATCACAGTGTACGAAAACGTTTCTACCATAAGTGAATTGATGAAACCGTTTACATCCGAACAAAATTCCAAGAATTTCTTTTTCAATGACAGCATAACCGATTTCAGTTTGCGTCAGGCTTTTGCTTGTGGATGCGATAGGTCTATCGTCTTGCAATAGACAATAAGTAACTCCTAATTTCGAAGCGCCCGTTTCCAGTATAAGCGACTTTGTCGGGTCATACTGGTGTCTTTGTTATGATATCTTTGACCTTAGAAAATACTCATTTATAAACATGATCCCAAATAAACTCTGTATCTTTTTTCATGAGGCTCCGTAAGGTGGCTGTAACTTCTGCTAGATTTGGCGTGAATTTAGAAAGGTAATTGACCATTTCCATAGGGCTTTCGATCTTCTCGGGGATTGGCAATTTCATGGTTGCTTCGATCTTAGACGATGCAGCTTTTAATCCACATTCTGTGATGATATGATCAAAGAATGGTACCGATTTGGCGCCAATGGTGCAGTTTTGTTCATTAAAACGGATACCTTGCTCGCGCGTAATAAGACCTGTGTTAGATGTTTATCATGTTCACATTGGGACTGCTTCCCCATATTAAAATAAAAAAGAGTTTGTATTCCGTTTATTCCTTCGAATATCTGATTGACCTTTTGAGAAAATATATCACTTGATGATGATATACCGTATGGTAACCGTAAGTACCTGTGTCTACCGAAAAGAGTGGCGAATGTTGTGACGTAAGGCGATTGTTTGTCTAGTTGTACAGACCAATATGCACGAGTACGATTTAACATACTAAAGTATTTAGCTCCATCGAGCTTTGCTGTTACGTCATCAAGTGTTGATTTGACATAATGAGGTCTTCGTATTGCTTCATGGAGCTGTTTTGGGTCTAGGCAAATACGTAATTTTCCATTCGGGTTTTCTTCAACTACAATTGGGTGTACCCAGCCCGTTGGTTCCGTCATTGGCGTTATAATTTCGTCTTTGACCATTTGCTGAAGGTCAAGCTTAAGTCGCGATTTGAACATTGGGTGTACCGGTACACAACTCGGAGGTGTAATTACTGGAATAGCGTCATCAAGCAGGTGTAGTTTGCTTTTACCAGGGAGATTGAATACGCCCCAGAACAAATAACCGTATTCAGACATAAATGATTCTTTAGTCATGTACTGAGTATTTTGGCAGTTTATTGTATGTGAGTTTAATTAACCCAAGGTCAATGGGTGTCTGTAATCCTATAAGTGTCGGCGCGTCACTGTTTACGACATAGAAGTCTAACTCTCTACGAAAGCTACAAGTTAAACTGATCTTTCCTATAACTTTAATTGTATCACCTGAGTACGAGATAAGTTTAGAATCGGGTGCCTGCAAAGGGATTCTTATGCTGAGCGATTCAAGTTTGCGCTTAGAGAGTATGTTAACGCTGCTACCTGTTTCAAGTTTGAAATTAATGTTTTGGCATTTCAGGCCCATCTTAATGTAAACAAAAGCGCGATTTGGGGCTGGCGATATTTTGTCGCTTACGTGTCAATGAAATATTTATCTACATAAGAGTCATCACTATTTTCATTTAAATCGTTCGAAAATTCATGAACATGTTTCTGTTTGTTTGAACGGCATTCTTTTGCCCAAATGTTTGTACTTTTTACATGATTTGCACTGCTGTCCATATGTCGGGCATTTCTGTTTGTGTATGATGTTATGGTATGTTGTACAATATCTACAGGAAGTAGTTTTAGACTTATCCGAGTTGGCACATCCATGTTTGACGTAATTTACATCTTGTTTTGGGTTAAAAATGTCCATTTTTTTACAATATTCGAAATTTTGCGATATTTGAATTGCCTTGTCCAATGTTAAGGATTCTCTTTCGTTAATTAATTTTTCCCTCAGTCTTTGGTTATTTACCCCAAAAGAATAATGCGGCCTCATATCATTGTGTCCGTTGTGCCATTGTGGTATCTGCATTCATTTGCTTTCAGTTTAAATCTTGTGACGAATTGTTCCATTGTTTCATCACCCTGCTTTTCGTTATTGAATTGGTACCGTACTTGCAAAAATTCGGTTTAGTTTTGGTTGAACGTGACTTTGAAATTTTGTGAAGAATGTGTCGATCTTTTATAATTTTTCATCTGCGTTTAAATTCCAGGATTGCATAATATCTTGCCCCTTTTCTCCTACCCATATTAAAAGGTATGCAATTCTCTCTTCCTCTGATTTTTTTGAGGGTCCACTGAATATTAATTTGACATTCTTTTCAGATTTTCCCATGTTGTAGTAAATTAACACTGTCCCAGTTTATGTTGGTGGGTTAATTCCAGAGAATGCCATTTTGTTCACTTTTTGTTTACTTTAGTTTCAGTATTCGTTATGTTTTTATTTAAATACTATTTTCGTGCTGCGACTATAACCTATAACCCGGGTGTTTTCTTAACCTAGTTAAATTATGAAGCAATTTTCACACCGATATAACGTTATTACATGTATAGATTTCGGTAATTTATGATCATGTTTAAATTTTAAAACGACATATCGATTATATAACATTACGTTTTTGTTCATGACTGTATGAAAAGATCATTTTAAATTTTTAAACGAGGGTTTTTGATATACCAGACCTGCGTTTGTTTTGAAATAACTGGCTCTGTTCCATAAAGTGATTTTATATACATAGCATTGGCATAACTTCATTGAAAAACGGTGTTGAATTGCAAATTGGATATTAGAAACGTAAGTTTTGATTTATTGAGATATTTCTGGTTATTATCCTTTTTGCTTCCACATAATTATCTGAATCATTTATCGTTTTATGTTTATTAAGCTTTCTATGTAAGAAACACTATTCTTTATAATAATCCCAAACACTGCCAGTGTGTACATTACTGCTTTTTGTTTTGTTTCTGACTATAGCCTATCTGCAAGATTTTTTATTATCTATTAAAGGCAGATTAGTCATTATTTCATATCGAAATTGGAGAATCAAAATCAATGATACATGATACAACATGACTTGCGGTCCATTCTTTGCTTCCGTGTGCATAAAACTTTGATAAATTGTTTAAAAAGTTGTTGTACGAAACACTTTACACATTAAACAGAATAACATTACATTAACATGCATCCATTCCTTCTAAAAGAGGTCCGCGCAAGTTGAGAACAGTGGTGATTTAAGAAAACAAATGATTATAATATATTTTAGGCTTTTTCAAGAAAGGAGGGACAGTAAACAAAATAAAGTCAATGGTTTTAGTATTATTTAATTCTAAGATTTGCAACATATTAAGTTATATGACAATAACGTGCTTGTTGGGCAAAATATACAAAAAAATCAACGTTCACCTGCCGATAAGATTATTATTTAAGATACTGTTATTTGCTTTAGAAGAGTCCACTTTCTGTTTAAATAACCTTGGACTTTCAAACATTATACAATGTTAGATAATATTAAAATTAAATGCTATATTTTGTGACTGGAATGTACAAAAGCCACTGCAGCAATATATCTATGAAATAGTTTCTTTGATTAGGGAAATGTCTGACGAAGAGGTTATTAAAGTAGCTTCGACAGTAGGGACAGCTCCGCTGTGGGTGCCGGTAGCTGCCGCAGGTGGCCTTGTTTATGGTGCAGGAAAAGGTAAACGTGATGTCTCAGACAAAATCGATACAAAAATAACAAGAACAATGAGTTGAACCAATGAAAATATCACGGAATCTTAGATAAAACATACAGTGGCGCAAAGGTGACATGTGTGCGTTTTTATTTATCTCGTGCGCACGAGATACTATGCCTTGAGAACAAGTTAATAAGTCTCGGCCACGAAATAATTAAGTGGTCCGCACGAGATACTATGTCGTGGCTTCGAGATAATTTTAGTCGTGCACACGATATACTATGTCGTGGTCACAAGTTACTTAGTCGTGGTCACGAGATAAGTAAGTTGTGCACACGAAATACTATGCCTTGGCATCGAGTTACTAAGTCGTGGCCATGAGATAAATAAATCGACGCACGACTTAATTATCTTGTGGCCACGAATTAGTTACTTATGACCATGACATAGTACATGTTTCTCGTGCGGACCTATCTATTATTTCGTGTCCACGACTAAGTAACGCGTGGCCACGACACAGTATCTCGGGCGCACCATTTAATTATCTCGTGGCCACGACTTAGAAACTCGTGGTCACGACTTAGTTACTCGTGGCCACGACAGAATATCTTGTGCGCACGATAAATAAAAACACACGCATGTCACCACCTTAAAAACAACCTAGATGTTTGTAAACAGTAAAAACGATAATATTTATTTTGGACTTGTTAGAGCTGGAGATTGTTGGTGTTAATACTTTTGTACCGATATGAGATGCAACTCATTATTCAAACATAAGATCTTCATTAAGTGTTATAATTAGTATAACATATACACTTATACATGCACGCGCAATGCTCTCAAAACCGCCCGCGAATATACGTCTTTAGGTCTCGATGCTGCAAATGACTTCGGGAAGGAGAACGGACCTCTAGCTGGTATAGCAGCAGCTCCGTTCATTGTTGGTGCCAACATTATAGCTGGTCCATTCAGAGGTATCAAGAAAGTGGGCGATGTTATGATAGGGAAAAAGAAGAAAAAGTAAACTTTGTATTATCAAGCACTGTTTGAGTGAGTGTTTTGCATTTTGACAATTAAATATTTCTTCACTCATCCGAATGTATATGTTACGAAAAGTGACAATTAGCCATATAAGAATATTTAGTAATTTTATTTTCCATTTTTCTATAACATTGGCAAAGGCTTGTCATTAATATGATTGATTTATGTTTTTTTTTTATTCAAAGTTAACTCATCGGCAATGCAATTTCTTGAGTTTTCTTGACGTTTTGTTTCAAAATGGTAAAATATAACATATAAATAATAAAAGCATCAGTTTGTTCATTTTGAGGGAGAAACAACTGTCACTAAGTTTCCTTTTTTCTCTCTTTATTTCAGGGAATGGCTTGTATGAAGTACCAGTCGGATTACTATATCACTTTTTTATATCTCTACCTGATTCTTTTCAATTAATTTTCAGATTAATTAATCTTTAATTCATCACAGTCTAATCAGTGCATATATACAATACATGTGTCGTCTGCTAGCGTTTCATTTTTTTAGAAAGGTTTTTTATAATTATACACAGACTCAATTGCATAATACAGTATCAAATAAATTTCGACGTTTTGAATAACATTATGACAACCAGACAAGACCAAATACATAAACATTTGGAATGAAGACCAATGGAATGTTTTTGAAGTGTTGTTCCTATCCCATTGAAGATATCATGTAACCATGTCCTAATCACAGCTTTAGTTAATCTTTGATATTGTTTAATATGTATATGTCGGTCTAGATCTTAGAAACATATGTTGCAAACATTATATCTCGTCTTGTTTGTTACTTTATTTAATAAATATTAAATTTAATTGATTTCATGATGCAGTCACAATTTCTAAGTCAGAAATAATTAATTATACAATGTGGTACTTTTTCGAATCATTTCTACAGAAATCACGAAAAGGTTGAAATGCATAATTTATTTGAACCATTTATATTTCTTTAACCCCTTGCCACGCCAAATACATGTATTTTATATTGACTTGTCCATTGTTCAAACAGTACAAAACTGTTAATATTTTTTTAAAGAAAATATGTAGCAGTTAACTGAATAACCAATAGCTGAAGTGCATACCATGACATGACAGCTGATCTTGGTCGCAATGGTTACCAGCAGATGTTTTTCTTGGATTTTCACTGATTTACAATTCTCCCTTACAATATTCATAACATTTCTTTTATATCTGTTTTTCTGTCAAGTTGATTAGTGTCAGTCATGCTACTGAAATAAACATTTTTGTAAGATTTCACCGGGCGAGGTATATTCATAACTGAAATATTAACACTGATCCAAACAGCATGTTCGAACAAATCAACAACAAGAATGTGAAAGCTTGTGATTTACACAATCGTTGTTCTACAAGAACCAATCAAGACTGACGATTTTCTACTGGAAGCGTTACTTTTATGTTTCGAATATATGATTTGTTTTCATGATCGAAACCCGTACCAATAGCTATTAGTTAGTTTTAAGTATTGATGAAGTGGAAACAAAAAACGGAAAGTATTTTCGAATATTCTTTTAAAGCTTTAACAGAGTGCTAATTCTGCAAAATAACTTGAAAACATGATATAGCAGTTTAGTTTAAACCATAACAATACATTTTTCTTTTTCATTCCGGTTAATAACATCCTGTTATTTACGAAGGGAACAGTAATTTAACATAAAAATAAATTATGTAATCATGCTTAATTAATAAAACTATTTATGCACTACAAAAGAGTGCATTGTGAATGAGATTGAATGTTACCATAAGGAAATAAAACATCTGAAACTGTATGGTACAATCAAGAGGACAATCAAACGCGCATATATTCTTGATAAAGACAAATATACTTAACATTAAACTATAACAAAGCATTGTTGACAAAGGGAAATAATCGTTGATAGGGTCACTTTGTTCCTGAGATGAATTATTTTCTTCGAGAGATAATTGAGAAGTACTTAAATTTTTATTATGATCTAGGACTTGCGCATGAAATGATTCAATATCGGTTGTGTTATTCGGACTTTTGCGTAATACTGACCGATTTCTCCGATATATGCTGCCGTCAGCATGTTTATATGATAGGAGCGGTCACTGTGTTCCTTTACTATTTTCCAGCGTTTCCTAAGTTTTTCCTATTTTAATGCGTACTGATTGATTCAATGGCAAAGGTGGCAAATATTTTGCATTTTTGTCGTAATTAACCTTTCGTTTGTCTTTCGATTTTTTTATTAGACTGTGCACTTTTGAGTTATTTACTAAAATGGGTACCAGCTCTTTATTTGTAACTGGCCGATGGATTTTGTTATTGAGGTATTCTAGTAATGCAATGTAAATGTTTGTGTTTGTATCTTTAGCTTTTTGCATTAGTTTTTTCGCGATACCTACATCTTTTTCCGCAAGACCGTTCGACTGGGGATATCCGGGGGAGGAAGTTCTGTGTTCGAACCCCCCACTCTGAAGCGAATCTTTTGAATTCAGAGCTTGAAAATTGACTACCGTTGTCTTAGACAAATACTTCAGGTATTGACATTTGTGACATACGTTTCTGAAGTTTGAGAATACCGGTTTTTGATGTAGTGTTTGGTAAAAAAGTTTACTTCCAAGAATCTCGAATAGTTATCTATAGTCAAAAGATACTCTTAACCTTGAAATGGAACAGGTGTGCTGCTATTTTTTGTAAGATCGGTCAGGGAAGTCGGTGGTCATTAGCAATTCGTTTGTGTTCGGGTCGCGGTATAAAGACATATGCTACATTTGCTTACATATTCTTTCATTTGCTTGGACATGCCTGGCCAGAAAAATGAATCTTTAGCACGTTCAAGTGTCTTCATAATTCCCATGTGACCTGTATGAACTTTCTGTACAAGTTCATTTCTCAAGTTTTCGGCATTACAATAGTATGACCTCGAACTTTTAGGTCACTCACCGCGGTGATTCCAGAAATCAAGGATTGATTGCTCGCACTTTGCTCTAGATTCTAGCCAGCCGTTTAATATAGTATCTTTAGAGTTTTCATGTGTGCGTCTTTGCACGTTACGGTTCGAATATTTTCTTTTCGTTGGTCGCTAACATGCAATTTTTTTTGAAGAGTATGCACGAAACTATCAAGGTCAGTATGTATTAGGGAGACATTGTCGTGATAGGCAGTTACTAACTAGTATTTCTTTACAAGGATTGGCTAAACGATTAACTGATATTTGAACAGAGCTAGTAGCATTCTAGATAATCTAGGCGGTGCTGCAGACATTGGTTTTTTCATTATGGCAGATATTATTTTGTGATCGCAGTGTACGAAAACGTTTCTACCAAAAGTGAATTGATGAAACCGTTTACATCCGAACAAAATTCCAAGCATTTCTTTTTCAATGACAGCATAACCGATTTCAATTTGCGTCAGGCTTTTGCTTTAAATGCGATAGGTCTATCGTCTTAAAATAAACAATAAGCAACTCCTCATTTCGAAGCGTCCGTTTCCAGTATAAGCGACTTTGTCGGGTCATACTGGTGCCTTTGTCATGATATCTTTGACCTGAGAAAATTCTCATTTATGCACATGATCCCAAATAAACTCTGTATCTTTTTGCAAGAGGTAAGGGGGCTGTAACTTCTGCTAGATTTAGCGCGAATTTATAAAGGTAATTTACCTTCCTAAAGGCCTTTCGACCTTTTCGGGGATTGGCAATTTCATGGTTGCTTCGATCTTAGACGGGTCAGCTTTTAATCCACTTTCTGTGATGATATGACCAAAGAATGTTACCGATTTGGTGCCAATGGTGCAGTTTTGTTCATTGAAACAGATACGCGCGTAATAAGACCTGTGTTAGATGTTTATCATGTTCACATTGGGTGCTTAAAATAAAAATCAACAAGAGTTTGTATTCCGTTTAAATTCCTTTCGAATATTCTGATTGACCTTTTGAGAAAATATATCAACTTGATGATGACATACCGTATGGTAACCGTAAGTACCTGTATCTACCGAAACGAGTGGCGAATGTTGTGACGTTAAGACGATTGTTTGTTGTGAGTTTGTACAGATGCCAATATGCACGAGTACGAATTTAGTAACATACTAAAGTATTTAGCTCCATCGAGCTTTGCTGTTACGTCATCAAGATGTTGATTTGACATAATGAGGTCTTCGTATTGCTTCATGGAGCTGTTTTGGGTCTTAGGCAAATACGTAGAATTTTTCCATTCGGGTTTCTTTCAAACTACAATTGGGTGTACCCAGCCCGTTGAGTTCCGTCATTGCGTTTATAATTTCGTCTTTGACCATTTGCTGAAGGTTCAAGCTTAAGTCGCGGATTTGAACATTGGGGTGTACCGGTACACAACTCGGAGGTGTAATTACTGGAATAGCGTCATCAAGCAGGTGTAGTTTTGCTTTACCAGGGAGATTTGAATACATATTTTTGGCAGTTTATTGTATGTGAGTTTAATTAACCCAAGGTAATGGTGTCTGTATATCCTATAAGTGTCGGCGCGTCACTGTTTACGACATAGAAGTCTAAACTCTCTACGATAGCTACAAGTTAAACCGATCTTTCCTATAACTTTTAATTGTATCACCTGAGTACGAGATAAGTTTAGAATCGGGTGCCTGCAAAGGGATTCTATGCTGAGCGATTCAAGTTTGTGCGCTTAGAGAGTATGTTAACGCTGCTACCTGTTTCAAGTTTGAATTAATGTTTTGGCATTTCAGGCCATCTTTAATGTAAACAAAAGCGCGATTTGGGGCTGGCGATATTTTGTCGCTTACGTTGTCAATGAAATATTTATCTACATAAGAGTCATCACTATTTTCATTTAAATCGTTCGAAAATTCATGAACATGTTTCTGTTTGTTTGAACGGCATTCTTTTGCCCAATGATTGTACTTTTTACATGATTTGCACTGCTGTCCATATGTCGGGCATTTCTGTTTGTGTATGATGTTATGGTATGTTGTACAATATCTACAGGAAGTAGTTTTAGACTTATCCGAGTTGGCACATCCATGTTTGACGTAATTTACATCTTGTTTTGGGTTAAGAATGTCCATTTGTTTTACAATATTCGAAATTTAGCGATATTGAATTGCCTTGTCCAATGTTAAGGATTCTCTTTGTAAATTAATTTTTCCCTCAGTCTTTGGTTATTTTCCCCCAAAGAATAATGCGGCCTCATATCATTGTGTCCGTTGTGGCCATCGTGGTATCTGCATTCATTTGCTTTCAGTTAAATCTTGTGACGAATTATTATATTGTTTCGATCACCCTGCTTTTTCGTTTATTGAATTGGTACCGTACTTGCAAAAATTCGGTTTAGTTTTGGTTGAACGTGACTTTGAAATTTTGTGAAGAATGTGTCGATCTTTTATAATTTTTCATCTGCGTTTAAATTCCAGGATTGCATAATATCTTGCCCCTTTTCTCCTACCCATATTAGAAGGTATGCAATTCTCTCTTCCTCTGATTTTTTGAGGGTTCCACTGAATATTAATTTGACATTCCTTTCAGATTTTTCCTATGTTGTAGGTAATGCAAATTTCAGGTGTAATTGAATTTAATTCCATTGCTTCTATTTTTAGTGACAAGTATATTATCAAGAATATTATATCCCAAATAAGATGTCCAGGTAAAATATAAAACTGTATAATTTTAACTAGTAAGAGACAACAAGAGTACGCCTTAATATTCCAAGATTTAACACACAATTGATGTTACATGTGGCATGCTGTAAAGGCGGAGCTTATCAACAACTAAAGTCTATTTCAAGATTTATCAATATAGAACAATTTCTATAATCGCTTTGAAAAAATAATGAGCCTTATTAAGGCTGTTCAGCATTCGTTATGTTTTTATTTAAATAAAAAAATATTTTCGTGCTGCGATTATAACCTATAACACGTGTGTTTTCTTAACCTAGTTAGATAATGAAGCAATTTTCACACAGAAAAATAACGTTATTACATGTACAGAGTTCGGACATTAAATGATCATGTTACAATTTTAAAACGACATATTGATTATATAACATTAAGTTTATGTTCATGACTGTATGAAAAGATCATTTCAAATTTAAAACGAAGGTCTTTTGTTATACTAGACCTGCTTTTGTTTGAATTGACTGGCTCTGTTCCATAACGTGATTTTATACATAGCATTGGCATAACTTCATTGAAAAACGGTGTTGAACTGCAAATTGGATATTAGAAACGTAAGTTTTGATATATTGAGATATTTCTGATTATTACCCTTTTTGCTTCCAGATAAATATCTGAATCATTTTATCGTTTTATGTTTATAAAGCTTTCTATGTAAGAATCACTATTTTTTATAATTATCCCAAACACTGCCAGTGTGTACATTACTGTTTTTTTTGTTTTGTTTCTGGCTATAGGTTTATTATTATCTATTAAAGGCAGATTAGTCATTATTTCATATCGAAATTGGAGAAACATGATACAACATGACTTGCGGTCCATTATTTGCTTCCGTGTGCACAAAACTTTGATAAATTGTTTAAAAATTTGTTGCACAAAAACACTTTACATTAAAAAGAATAAAATTACATTAACATGCATCCGTTTCATTTAAATGAGGTCAATGCAAGTTGAGAACAGTGGTGATTTAAAAAAACAAATGATAACAATATGAGCCGTGACATGACATTTCCAACATAGTGGTCAAATGACGTAATCGTAGAAACACGACGTCAAAGTTGACGCCAAAATTACCACGTTTTTTTAATTATATATCGCGCGTGTTTTCAATCAGCGCTGTACAGTTTTTAACAGTCGCGGCACCCGTTGCTATCCATGGAGCTTTAAACAATGTATAGCGTGGGCGGGTCCGTTAAATCGTATAATTATTAAATATAATGGCCAGAGGGCGGAGAAGAGTTGCAGTATTATTGTTCTTGTTTTTGCAAGAAAACTACAAGTAATTTCAAGAATTGAAACCAATTAAGCAAATGTGTCAACAATCAGATTCGATCTCGGCAATGAGGTCTGTAAGTTCTGTAGCAGACCCGTTGTTTATAAAAACAAACCAAATGGCATTGTAAAATATTTAATTACCTTTTAACCCCGATTTTCTTTTCTAAAGTATTAAAGACCTTGTACATATGACATGTTTTTCAATTATTAAATATCTTGATGGCTATGTTCAAGATGCTATTGTCTAATATTAAACCAAAGAGCCGTACAAGTTACTGTTTTATAACTGAAGGGCCCCTTAGGCCTACCGTCATACTTGTCACTTGTGTACGATGATTTTAAACTGTTGTACGATTGATTTTAAACAGCTATTTGAAATTGTAAATTTATTATAGATAATTTTCTACCGTATTAATAAAAGTTACATTAAAATAGAATCTTTATAAAGAAGTTGAACTCAGGATAAACAAGGAAACACGGCAGTACTCAAGAGATAGAAATAGATAGATAGATAGATAGGTAGAATCAATGTCTAAAAAATGCAGCGAGCTAGAGGATTCCTTGTTACATCACAGTTTTAGAGAAACGTGAACGCCTAAAATTTCCAATTTGGCCGTAATAGTCTTAAATCAAAAGTACAACTTTTTAATAATAGAATTATTATTACGGTTTTCTTTATCATTTTCGTTTTAGGAGATCAACCAATTGTTCAATTTGATCATGTTTTGTGTTTATGCAATACAAATTAGACACCCATACCTGACCATAATTATTTGTATAACAGAGTTTCCGAAGACGGCGACACATCGATAGGAAATGAAATTCTGGTCGCACCAATACCTTGACCATGTTCTAACGTAGGAAAATTGAAAATCCATTTACTGAGTGGGATAGTTGTGTTCTTTTTAAACATTGTTACTGCGAAAATAAATGCATAGAAAAATTTAGTTCTTCAGATATTAATGACCATATCTTATCTATTAGAGATATGTTAACAAGAGACGTGACAAACAGGCAGAGGCTCGAGAAAGCGCCCAATTACTTGTATCGTTTTGAAGAAAGAAAAATATGCCGTCAGGCTTTCATTTGATATTATATGACATTACAGACTCTTCTTGAGAGCTTTATCGACACGTACATTGGTTCCATGGCGTATCTTCCACGTAAACATGGCAATACTGGACGAAAGCCTATCCTTGCTCTCCATTTTTTTGACGATGTTATTGAAAATAGTGAATTTACGGTTCGTAGTGCTGACTGAGAATGGCGTACCACAGCCAGAGCTGCTCCGAGAGGGCGTGTGATCTCCCTACATCTATCTACATTCATCTTGACAAAGAAAGCCATTCATTCTATTTATGTTTGAGAGTTTACGATCTTGAGAATGGAAAATGTGTAAAAGAAAACATTTGTCAGATTATGGAAGCTTGTGTGGCGCGCATATTGTAATTGCTTCCCCACGTCACATGTTTGTTCGAAATGTGAACAATATCGCAAAGACAGATGTCGATGCTGTGACAGAATCTGAGAAGATGGCCGGGCATCATTATCTATGCAAACACATATTCAGCTAGCACAAGAAGAAAGAAATCTTTATCTGACATTGATTCGTCAAAAAGTAGCAGCCTTAGAGGACAACCGCCGTTGCGTCGGCAATTATACTAGTACAAATACTATACATTTGATTCGCTCCGCATCATGCTCGTCAGATGGGGACCTCTTTACTCTGACACTGAAAAAAGGTTACAATTTATCTACCATTTTCTTTGTTTTCCCATTCTCATTTTGTATTTACAATTGCGTTATATTAGAATGCAGACTATAACTAATTCCAATTATCTACAAATTTTTCAACGCGGCCTTTTTCAGTAATTATGGTTGAATTTCAAACACGCATGAATAAATCGAGGACACCGGCTAGGCCATGAGAAAAACTTACCAAACATTCAATAACATTATCCATTCTGCAACTGAAAAAAAAAAACACTTTATAAAAATAAGTACGGAGTAGATTCTCGTCCAAAGACTTAAATTAAATAAACGTTTCTACCACATTCTAAAAAAGTGCACTTACCATGTGCAATTCTATACCATAATGAAGTTATTTTAAATTTTGTGCAGTATTTAGATTTATTCATCAAAAACGAAACACGCATAGGTAGGTTTTTTAATGACGGGAAAAAATACCGGATGTTTTTAAAAATTAACAATGCTTGTTTTATACATAGCATTATTCATTTGAGAACTTTGTAAAAAAAAAAATTAAAAAGTTATGAAGTATGAATATTTGTTTAGGTACAAGTATTGGCTATCCGCACCGATGGAGGATCCACGCCGTATCTTTTTTTGATGGAGAGCAGTGCATCGCGTAGACGGGAAAGCTGTTCACACGGTCCAAAATGTTAATTAGATATTGATGACCATGCGTTGGTAAACAGGAAGATATATTGTTACATTACATTGCTAAAACTGCGCTGGGTAATTTGCTATTTTAAACCTTTTTCTAAAAGGAACTCTTTATTGAAATAAATAATCGTGACAAACTAAATAAGCTTATTGATAAATAGAAAATATGTTTAAATTGCAATTTATGAACTGATTCTTTTTTGTTTTGTTTGTTAACGATCACGCCGACTCTGTTCCGAGTCCCTATGTAAATGTATAAATAAAATGTGAATGAATGAATGAATGAATGAATACATGAATGAATGAAACCAGTAAAGTTCATAAAATAAATGAATAAATAAATTAAAATTATTGCCAAAAATAACACATTATGTCCGTAAATTATTCCAGAATGGACATGGTTTGACTGGAAGACATAATTTAATCAGTATTACAAAGCCATACCGGGAATTTTATCATATCAACATTTCAGGTGTCAATGTTATACTTTTTATACAGATTTTCTTTTATCATTCTTTACGAATAAATTTACGTTGTGTTATGAAATTATCTTTATGAAATGACAGTGGCTAGCCGCACGGGGCCGTATTGCTAGAAAAAAGTTCTAGCCATACCTTAGTCACCGTACAGACTAGCCTATACACACTGTTGATGCTAAGCCGTACGGCATTTTTTTTTTAAATGCAAACTTTCTTTCCTTGAGTATCATGAAAACTTTAAACAATTAACGTAAATATATTATTTTTTGGCGTTTGATGATCGGAAGTTTTCTCTAAAAATCACAGATTTTGATTAAAGTCCGTGCGAAAGTACAGGGGAAATAAAACTGAAATATTATTAAAGCATGTCTATACACGTAATACAGTTGTAATAAATTTTTATCTTGATCATTTTAGCGGACAAAGAAAATTTCTGTTCATGATACAGCGCAGTTCAGTGCGTATAGGCTAGACGTGCGCGACTGTCTTAACTTTTGGCTAGCAGTTTGGGTCCGTACGGTTAGCCACTTTCTTATGAGATATATTTTTACATAAGTGTTTTGTGAAAGTATAAATTAGTATTTCAATATATATTTTCAATCCATGGTTCCAGAATTGAGCCACAATAGACCTGGCGAGGTAACTGTGAGGAAAACTCCCGATGGTGACGAAAGATCGTTCAAACTCTTACGATATTCGGACACTACGTTCACTGGCAGAAACAAATGCCACCTGTACTACAGCCAGGCGGTCTCTTCATTTGAAAGACAGATGTACTTATACAGATCTGTACGTCCATTTGTGAGACAAGTTTCGCGAGATGAAACGTGCCCGTTACCTACAAGAGAAGAGTAACTCTTCCGCTGGAAATACAATAAAATTAATCTATGTACTGAAAATCTAAAAGTTGATAATATAGTATAGTGGAAAAAAGACTGTGTAATTAAACACATATGAGAACGACGTTGTTAATTATTTGAATAATCAATTTTGCATGCATTGTCTTATTTGAAAATATTTTTCCAGGATTATTATGTTAAGCAAAATAATTTTCCGTTTAGTCAAACTGACGTACTTTTTAACGACGTCGTACTTTTAAACGACGTCGTCACTAACGTCAACTTAAACGCCGTCACCAACAACAGGTGTATGATAAAAAAGTATTATAAAACAAGTTTTCATCGTCCAAAAATAATAAAATTTGTTTCAAATGATTCAGAAAAGATTGCTTTTTGAGAATCTTTGAAAAAGTGAAAATGTCAAATTTGACCACTATGTTGGAAATGTCATGTCACGGCTCATATATTTTTAAGCTTATTCAATGTAGAAAGGAGGGGACAGTAAACAAAATAAAGTCAATGGTTTTATGATTATTTAATTTTAAGATTTGCAACGTATTAAGTTATATGACAATAACGTGCTTGTTGGGCAAAATATACAAAAAAAATCTATGTTCACCTGCCGATAAGATTTCTTAATTATTTAAGATAATGTCATTTGCTTTAGAAGAGACCACTTTCTGTTTCAATAACCTTGGACTTTCAAACATTATACGATGTTAGATAAGATTAAAAATAAATGCTGTATTTTGTGACTGGAATGTACAAAAGCCACTGCAGCAATATATCTATGAAATAGTTTCTTTGATTAGGGAAATGTCTGACGAAGAGGTTATTAAAGTAGCTTCGACAGTAGGGACAGCTCCGCTGTGGGTGCCGGTAGCTGCCGCAGGTGGCCTTGTTTATGGTGCAGGAAAAGGTAAACGTGTTGTCTCAGACAAAATCGAAACAGAAAATAACAAGTACAATGAGTTGAACCAATGAAAATATCACGGAATCTTAGATAAAACATACGGTGGCGCAAAGATGACATTTGTGCGTTTTTATTTATCTCATGCGCACGAGATACTATGTCTTGGGCACAAGTTACTAAGTCGTGGCCACGAGATAATTAAGTGGTCCACACGAGATACTATGTCGTGGCTACGAGATAATTAAGTCGTGCACACGAGATACTATGTCGTGGTCACAAGTTACTTAGTCGTGGTGACGAGATAAGTAAGTTGTGCACACGAAATACTATGTCTTGGCCTCGAGTTACTAAGTCGTGGCCACAAGATAAATAAAAGACTTAACGACGCACGACTTAATTATCTCGTTGCCACGAATTAGTAACTCATGACTATCACATAGAATCTCGTGCGCACCTATCTATTATCTCGTGGCCACGACTTAATAACTTGTGGCCACGACACAGTATCTTGTGCGCACAATTTAATTATCTCGTGGCCACGACTTAGTAACTCGTGGTCACGACTTAGTAACTCGCGGCCACGACAGAATATCTTGTGCGCAAGATAAATAAAAACACACGCATGTCACCTCTGTACCACCTTAAAAACAACCTAGATGTTTGTAAACATTAAAAACGATAATATTTATCAGAGGTTTACACCTTTGGACTTGTTTGAGCTGAGGCCTGTTGATGTTAATATTTTTGTACCGATATGAGATGCAACTTATTCAAACATAAGATCTTCATTAAGTTTTATAATTTATTATAACATATAAGATTAAAGATAAACGCACGCGCAATGCTCTCAAAACCGCACGCGTATATACGTCTTTATTGTTGAAATAACAATGAAAAAGATGTACGAAACACGTTAGAAAGAAGACTTTATAAACTACTGATACATGTAGATATTTATTTTTGAAGGTTCTTTATTACAAAAAGTTCCTCGCTTCAGGCCTCGATGCTGCAAACGACTTCGGGAAGAAGAATGGCCCTTTAGCTGGTATAGCAGCCTCGCCATTTATTGTTGGTGCCAATATTATAGCTGGTCCATTCAGAGGAATCAAGAAAGTGGGCGATGTGATGGTAGGGAAAAAGAAGAAAAAGTAAACTTTGTATTATCAAGCACTGTGTGAGTGAGTGTTTTGCATTTTGACAATTAAATATTTCTTCACTCATCCGAAGGTATATGTTACGAAAAATGACAATTAGCCATATAAGAATTTTTGGTAATTTTATTTTCCATTTTTCTATAACATTGACAAAGGCTTGTCATTAATATGATTGATTTATGTTTTTTTTTAATTTAAATTTAACTCATCGGCAATGCAATTTCTTGAGTTTTCTTGACGTTTTGTTTCAAAATGGTAAAATATAACATATAAATCATAAAAGCATCAGTTTGTTCATTTTGAGGGAGAAACAACTGTCACAAAGTTTTCTTTTTTTCTCTCTTTATTTCAGGGGATGGCTTGTATGAAATACCAGTCAATCAATTACTATTTAACTTTTTTATATCTCTACCGGATTCTTTTCAATTAATTTTGACATTTATTAATCTTTCATTCATCACAGTTTAATCAGTGCATATATACAATAATGTCTCGTCTGCTAGCGTTTCATTTTTTAGATTTTTTTTTATGATTATACACAGATTTAATTGCATAGTACAATTTGCATTTTATATCATAAATTTCGACGTTATGAATAACATTATGATCACCAGACAAAACCAAATACATAAACATTTGAACTGAAGACCAATGGAATGTTTTTGAAGTGTTGTTCCTATCCCATTGAAGATATCATGTAACCATTTTAGTTAATCTTTGATATTGTTAAATATGTATATGACGGTCTAGATCTTATAAACATAATTATGTTGAAAATATTATATCTTGTTCTTGTTTGTAACTTTATTTAATTATATCTCCCAAAATTTTTGGGAGACATATTGTTTTTTTTGCATTCGCCGTCTGTCTGTCCGTCCGTCTGTCTGTCCGTCCGTCAGGTTGTCCGTCCTTAGTCCTGAGTACCATCCTTAGTTGTGCACATCACCGGTACGTTCCGCTTCACTGCACAAAATGGCCACCAGAGAGAGATAAAAATAGAAAATTATTGTCCGGCCTACACAGGTCAAGCTACTGGTGGGATTTCAACCAAACTTTACAGGAGTGATCAGTACCATCCTTAGTTGTGCATATTTACGGCACGATCCGGTTTGCTGCACAAAATGGCCGCCAGGGCTAAAATAGAAAATTCTTGTGCGGCCTTCTCAGGTCAAACTACTAGTGGGATTTCTACTGAACGTTACAAGAGTGATCAGTAACATCCCTAGTTGTGCACAACACCGGCACGTTCCGCTTTGCTGCACAAAATGGCCATCAGAGCTATAAAAAGAAAAACTCTTTTCCGGCTTTCACAGGTCAAGCTTATGGTAGGAGTTCAATGAAACTTCACATGAGGGACTGGGAGACATATGCTTTTGTGATATTAACCCTTCTAGTTTACATTTCATGATGCACACTCAATTTCTAAGTCTGAAATAATAAATTATATAATCAGAAACTTTTCCGAGTCGTATCTTCAGAAATCACAAAAAGGTTTAATGTATAATTTATTCGTACCATTTACATTTCCTTAACCAAGTGCCACGACAAATTTCTCATATTGACTTTTCCATTGTTCAAACAAGACAATTTAAAGACAATTTCAAATTATGTAGCGGTTGCCTGAATAACGAATAGCGGAAGTGCAGACCATGACAAGACTGCGCGGCTGTACCGGCTGACATTGGTCTGCAATGGTTGCATGGGTACATTCATTTGGCACCAGTAGGCTAAGGGTTACACACTCACAAATATATATATATATTTTTTACTGCAATATTCATGACATTTCATTAGTTACTGCTTTTCTGTCAAGTTGATAAAGTGTATGTAAGTCATGTAACTGAAATAAAAATTTATATAAGATTTAATCGGGTCGGATGTTTTTTTATATTTATTGTTTGTTTGTTGTTCATGGTTGTTTCCATAGTTTTCAGCCAAAAAAAAAAAAAAAAAAAACAAAAAAAAAACCAAAAAACAAAAAAACAAAAAAAAACCAAAAAAAAAAACAACAAAAAAAAAAACCAAAAAACAAAAAACGAAAATATATATATTTAACACCAGTAAATCAGGTGGAATTTCACCAAAATAGGTAGATTATTCATAACTGAAATGTGAAATGTAAACACTGATCCAAACAGCATGTTCGAACAGATCAACAACAAGAATATTCCTTTCATGTGAAAAAGATATCCAGCTAGCTTACGGAACGTCGGTAGTTCTAATCAGATACCCGTCCGTGCCTGAAATAATGCACGGAAGGGCACCCGAGGGTTCCTCAACCAGTAAAGCTGGAACATCGCCATATGACCTATACTTTGTGACATAAAGCCCAATCAATCAAACAAACAAACAAACAAACAAACAAACAAACAAACAAACAACAAGAATAGGAAAACATGTGATTTACACTAACGCTATTTAATAAGAACCATTCAAGACTGACGTTTTTAACTTGAAGCGTTACCGCATGTTTCGAATAAATAGCCCATACCAATACCTGTTAGTTAGATACTTACTTTTTCGAAAGTCCAAAGGTTATTACACCCGCTTTCAAAAACATAATGAATGGCTTTTCCAGAAATTCATTAAACAGCTAATTACACATATGCATTCAATCTCTTCTAATTTACAAAAAAACCCAACTTAGTTTAGTGTTTTTTGCTAGAAAGAAAACAATCCAGGTTTTGCAAAATGCACCATTTACCAAAATCTGATGATGTAAAAATCTACTTATGGACGTTATCAATATGACAAAAGAAGGGGATACTAACTTTAGAGTATAAAAATGTTTTAGCATGTTTTATGCTACAAACATTTTCATATTTATGCAACATTTTATTTTATTCATTTCATTTATTTACTTTAATTGTTTTGATATATCATGTAATTATATGTTTAAATCAGAATTCTATGCTTCTATCAAGGTTAATCCAAATATTATACTGGAAGATTGATGGAGTGTAAACAAACAAACAAACAAGGGGGAAATACTTTCGAATATTCTTTTAAAGCTTTAACAACAGAAAGTTTTAAATTATGTAATTCATACATTGGTTAACATGATTTAACAGTTAAGTTTAAACGAAAACAAAACATTGTTGGGGGGTTTGCGGTTAACAACATCCTGTTATATACGAAAACAACAGTCATTTTACATATACAAAACAATATTAAATCATGCTTAATTAACAACAACCATTTATGCATTACAAAAGATTGCATTGTGAATGATATTGAATGTTACCACAAGAAAAAAAAACATCTGCAAACTTATGTTTACAAGAAGACGAAAGCGCGAATATATAGTTACGATTAATACATATGAGACATGAAACTATAACAAAGCATTGTTGGCAAAGGAAAATAATCGTCGATAGATCTAATATCATCAACATTACGGTAAGTTTAATTTAATTTGATAATTTGATTATGATTTAATAAACGTCTATTTATGATGTTTACTTAGGATATAACTAAATTGTAGACTTTTTTAAAAAAATAAAAATTTATGCTGATTTCTATGGCATATGTGTATTAGATATTCGTATTCTTTGTTTAATATTAATACACTTGCTATCATTTCTTAAATATCTTTTAAAATGCTTAGAACAACAATTTGTTTAGTACTGACAATAAAACATTTTAATTATGTTTCAAATAAACATCATAATACAGGAAAACTGAATGAGTCTACCGGTTTTCTTGGTTGTGCGTTTTATCTTTCATCTTACCTTATTTAAAAATTCATATACTCTATTTTAAACGGTCTAATTTTTACAGGAAATGAAGTCAAACAAGCTCGTTATAATTGTTCTTTTCCTGGTTGCGTTTTGTTTGCCAGAGATGTTGGGATCAGGTGGTGGTAATTCTGGTTGTAAAGCGCGAGCATTTTTTTATGGACCAGAATGCAGGTAAATTTTAAATTATAAAGATTTTGACACGTTATATGACCCTATCATATACAGTTGTTTTCAAATATAACCCGAGTCGCTAGGTCGAGGGCTTTATTGCAAACGATCATATAAACTGTCAAGAACATACATGTGTGTAAACTTATATTTAAGAAGAAAAAAAGAAATAAAATTTATTCATAGACTGGCAGCAGCCGTTTATATATATTATATGTGTATATAGATTACATAAATGTCACGATTATCCAATTAAAAACGACGTTACAAACGTACAGTGTAATAATTCCGGATATATGAATTTAATTGAAAGGTTTATTTTTTTTGCAATTATGAAATGCCTTTATAAGTAGTTTATTTTGTTTAGCATTATATTGATTACTTTGTTTTAACGTACCAAACATATTGTTTAATTAGGTGGTGAAAACATTTCATTTATTCAATAACCTCAAAAGATTAATCCAATAATTCGTGATCAAGCACAATGTTTCTCAAATATGCAAAAATATAAGACTTGTTCGATATGATATAAAACATGTTATTCATGTCAATTTAGGGCCTCAGTATCTGGAAGACCGGACGCTAGAATATCATATCATATCGGCTTTTTTAAAAAGACAAAACTTTGCTGCAAAGCGTATACCTGTCTTAGAAATAAGTGCAGTCTACAAAGTGTGGGATGTAGCAACAACGTACAGTTGGAAACAGTAAGTCTGCCCTGGGATAACGCCGTTGAGACGCCAAGGGTGCAATGTAAAGGCAGTCCTAATGAAACAAATTATTACTTTTTTTATTATACGACAAGAACATAAAACATTTTTCACGAATGTCTACACGTTTTAAAGAACATACCTTCAAATGTGTGAGTATATGTTTGTGTTGATTAAGAAATTGTAATAATGAGTAAAATATTTACAAATCATACAAGAATTCTACCTGACGTACTCAACATCAATGACAAACAAAAATAAAACTCTCAAATATCACAGGGTAGAATATTTGTGATACAATAGTATATTTTTCAATTTTGTTTTGTAAGATAAACAAAGCGGATAGCTTATATTAAAGCTTTTTTTCTAGGAATAAATATGTTTTTAATTATTTTAATGTTTTGAAAGAAATTCTTAACTAAAATTGATGCTTTCCATTTGAAGTTGATTTGTCTTGAATGGATACATTTTCTACGGGTATTTCAAATATTGATAAAAACAATAGGAGTGTATCATATAGATATTTTTTTCATATAATATTGCTGTTAAAAATTGTTGATAAATTCCTAAGTGAAGTAGTATGAACATTTAAATAAGATGAATAATATTATTCTTTTTCTAGATCGATTTATTACCTGCTATATGAATATTTGTAATATCAGTTCATGTATCTCAAACTTGCAAACAATAATCATATATGAGCCGTGCCATGACAAAACCAACATAATGGGTTTGCGACCATCATGGATCCAGACCAGTCTGATCAGGATCCATGCTGTTCGCTTACCAACTCTATTACAAGTAGAGAAACTGATAATCCTGATCAGACTGCGCGAATGCGCAGGCTGGTCTGGATCCATGCTGGTCGCAAACCCATTATGTTGGTTTTGTCGTGACGCGGCTCATATCATTCTTTTGTGGTTAGTTGTTATGTCTGATACTAAATATAATCAACATAATTATTTATATTATAACAGATAGTCCATTATAGACCAATTCACTTTAAAAGCGGGCTTTGCAGATAACCGTCTGCACAAATAACAAAACTACAAATTGTAATTAGAAGAAAAGATATGCAAATATACATATATGATGTCATGGCTTTTATACCTAAATTTGTGTTGTTAATTTTACATTCAGAAAAGATTTTACGAATTTACTTTTTTTTCAAATATATAGATCTACCATGCTGAAATTTGTAATTCAAAAATATTGATAATTGCTACGCAGTCTCTTTGTATGTATAAAATAAACATGGTTTGAATTATTCCCATGTAAATATATCATGTTTTATACCCTATATAGTATAGGTTGACACAATATCAATATACATGTATTGTGTCATTAAAAGAGCTGGAAGTTTATTTTAAAAGAAAATAAAATTAGTTTATACAAATTTATTTTAGTGCGATTTTATTGGAAGCTATAAGCTTATTGAAAAACTCTTGAATCCGTTCCTGGAACCAACCAGTACTTAGCAATAAATGTAAAGTTTCTTGCCTAAGGAAACAACGGCTTGCCCCTGACAGGGTTTGAACCCGCGCGGTCAGCAATCCTTAGATTACTAGTCCGACGCGTTAACCACTCTATAAATTGAACATACCATGCTCTGTTTAGCAGATTTATTGTTCCATTTTTATATTTAAGTGGTTTTAATAGTAATACTGTTGCTTTCAAGTCAGAGAGACGATTTCAGTGTGTTTGCAATCATTATTTGAATAAAAAAGATTAAGATCTATATGTATTAAATTGCATGAACATAACAGGAACGATGCAGTTCATGGAAATCATTCCAGATTAATAGTATTGTATATTAAGTAACTTAAATCTGAAATTAAATTTCTTAGCTGTAGATGTGATAGTTAATTGTAAAATGCTTGGTTCACAAACCACTTAAAGCACCCTTAAATTTAGAAACAAGAAAACCTGAAAGGCAGATCAATAAACGCCATAACACAGCTTTGTTTAGTAATAAAAAATAATCTTCAAATTAGGGAAGAGACCATCATAAACTTTTCCAAAATCATGTTATCTTAACCTTCTAAATGACACTAAATCACCGCCATAATGGAAGCATTTTTTCCATAGGTGCATGGTTTGTCAGTCTTTTGTAGAGGTCTTATAGTCAATGCTACATGCCAAATACATAAGCTCTGAGCATTGTAGTTCACACAATTAGACTTATAAGTATATTTTCCTACTAAAGTTTATATAACTTAAGTTATCCAGGGCCAGGCCTATGCTTAATATCAGTTTAGCAAAGGTTTACAAGGCAATGTTACATGTAAAAATTTCTAAGCTATGTATTTTGTATTTTGTGATTACAATAAATGTGTTTTCCTATATAAGTCTACATAAATAAAGTAACCCCTTGGTCAGAGCTAATATTGACCAAAGGGGCATGATTAACCTTTTACCCCATGAGCATATTGCGAAAAATGGCCGTTTTTATTGAAAAGCCTCCTGTACCAAATTCAAACTGGTTTGAAACTATGAAAAATGCTTCAATACTAATGAAACTTGGCACAAATATTGACTACACCATAGCCTCTGTAACAGCATGCTCAATGGTAAATTTCCTGTTACCATGGCAACGGGGGGACGTCTCAAAATTGCCAAAAATCACTATTTTGCATTGTTTTTTTCCATCAAAACTGATTTCAAAGTGCTGCAACTTCTCAATGAATTGAGATAGAGTAAAAGGCTTTTCAGCGTCGGTTACTAGTTACCCTAAGATCGACTTGAGGCCACTTTTAGCCTGTCACATGTCCAAAATTTTCTTGACGATGAGGGGACTCCGCCCCCCTTCTAACCCCCCAAAATAGAAGGGGGCACATCCCCCTTATGACAAACCCCTGATGTTATATTTGGATGGGGGACGGCGCCGAAAAAGTGGTCACTTTTTTAACAACATTTCTCAAACGAAAAACAGTGTTTGGGGCCTAAATAGGGCATTTTTTCACTGTTTGAGGCCTCAAAAAAGGGAGGGCAAAAAGCCGTCGAAACACGCTCATATAAGGGAAAAGGTTAATATAATTTTGTACAAGTTCACATGCTAAACATCTAAGCCCTGAGCATTGTAGTTATGCACTTTTAAAGACGAAACTGTTTTTCCTATATATATAAATCAAATTATAATTTTGATTCGGGAAGGCCAAACATGCACATTTTCCCGTTCTAACATTTCTGCCAAAAAGTCAGAGCGGAGACGAAAGTTTGAACTTCATTCATTATGACTAAGTGTTACATTGACCTTCACCCTAGGAATGACAAACCTGCTTTGCTTATCTTCTCCTAATGATTAACATTTCTGCCAAGTTGTTTCAATTTCTTTCTATCGATTAAAACATTACACAGCAGATATGAAATTGCTAACAGACGGATGGACGGACGGTCCACCAGGTGCATAACAATTCACGCCGAAATCATTTTTGTTTTGGAATATTAAAATGACTTAACTTTATTAACAGTGCATTTAATAATAGTGAAATATTAAATTTCAACCGAATTCAGCACCTTTTCGATTTAATCTTGTAACTCTGTCATTGAAGTTGATGAGCCGATATGGCTTCATTATTATGGTATTTATGACCGGCAAGACATAACTACTCGTTGTCAATGACTTTAATAATTTCCTACACAATGCTACAGACCTACAATGGTTTATTGATAGCCCTGACTTAGTGCCTTAACAATAATGTATCAGGTGCATTATAAAATGATATTAATAATATAATAAACTTTACACATTTTGATTGTTAATCTGTTTTAAAATACAACAGTTAAACGATCAATTTCAGTAGGTTGATATGATAAAAATTAAAGTAACAATGGAAGTAATAATACATTGAATATTATAAAGCATTTATTTCAAAAAGACCTTTTCTAATATGGAACTTATGTAAGGAAAAAAGTAATATTTTCAGAAATTACCATGGTAGTTGATTTAGGTCTTTTAGATTGATAATGTTCATTTTTGTTCACATTTTTGTTCACATTGTGTGTTGATAGATAGCTTTATCATAAAAATGATATATATAAACAAAAAAAAGAAAAAAAAAAAAAAAAAAAAAAAAAAAAAAAAACAACGAAAAAAAAAAAAAAAAAAAAAATAAAATAAAAATAGAAATAGCAAAAAAAAAAAAAAAACAAAAGAAACAAACAAACTAAAATTGTAAAATTAAACAAAAAGTGTTATTTCTATCTAAACAAATCAGTTAGAATTTATTGCAAAGATATTCAATTTTTAACCTAAAAAGCATTCGACTTAATTGAAGCAATAATGTAAATCAAACTTTTTTTCGACAAAAAATTACTACATGTCGGATTGATGGAGCAACAGTCTTGCAAATTTGCACGTAATTACTTTGTTTTATTATTACCATTTCAATGGAAAAGAAGCCTGGGGATATGTTTTGATTACAATATTAATGTCAATCACCTCTGTCTCTAAAACGTGTAAGCTGATTTAAGCGTATAATATTATATCGAACATCTTAAAAATGTTTTTCCAATGATTTTGAGGTAATTTTAGTCCTTATGTCAATGTTTCTTTGAGTTGCTATGTTTCCTGCTAAAATGCTTTTTTGTACATCGTGAATACAATTACCACAATTGAGAGTGATTATGCATCAAGTAGGGCACAACCTGGATATGACAGAGAGCCACTGAATCTTCTGGTGACGATAGTTGGTCAATATATAATGCAATATGTTCAATAAATTGAATCGATAAGCAAAAACTTCACAATTTTCTATTTAAATCCTCCCAAATTATATCCTCTAGAAATACTTTGTTTCTAATCCGATTTTAAATGCTTCAACATAACAGTATTTTCTTGTAAATAAAATTCTTTATCAGTTGATTATAAACATGATTTTTGTATCATTTGAAAAAGAAAGCATAGTATAAATTACTTAAACACAAGAATCATAGATTAGCTGTAAATACATCAGATATTATGGAGGACTGTTTCCTGCAAATGACACTCATTATAATATCCAACTGACAATTATCAATTCTAAACATAATGTCAACGAGTGCAACAGATAAATGTAACTACAACTATGAACTATAACCTCTCATGGAAGCTGGTCAGTGATCTGTGGATGAAACTTCAACTGTGTGCAAAAGCAATAGAACTAATTTAATTTGGCAAATTGTAAGTGAGTGGCTATACCTGCAACTTTTGGACTTCGTTTGTCCACCACTTCTCATTCCAATACATACAATTGCAAGTTTGCAAACAAACTTTGTATGACTCTGTGGAAAAAGACCCATTCAGTACGAGAATGACGTTTTCATTATAGTTCATTATTAAAGTTTTTTCTGGTACGATGATCCTGTGGTAGCGGAAAAGAAGAGAACTTTAGTTCCATACGTTATCTGAGGTAGCTCGTTTTGATGATACCGTGTTTGTGAGCTGTTCACCTCAAACAAAAAGTCGCAAAACGTCCGAGTTTCTTAGTTGTCTTCCCACAACACCTAGCAGGAAGCGCAATAATTCAATCTCTAAATAAGACACAAATTTTAAAAGGTGCTTGAAATAAGCCATGTCTTGAAATGAAAGACATTTAGTTAGTAATTTTTAAATTACCCTAAAGGTATTTAAGCATGCCTAGCGACGTCAGGTTTAGTAGAGACATTTTTAAGAATAGCTTGAAATACCTTCAGACTATATTGGTGCAGACTGTCTGACAACACCTTTAAATTATAAATCATGATCAGATGCAATGTCCACTTGAAATAGTCTTTTATATATAGTAGATAACACATTCATAAACATATAAATTAAATATTTAGTTTTACACTTTAAGTTATTGATATTTACAGGTCTTTGACTGTAGTTATATAATGCTCCTCTTACATTTTTTTGTAAAATGTAAATAATAAAACTAAGTTCTTGATATATAATAGATGTTGTGTTTTGATTAGTAATTTCATTAATAACTTGTAGAAAATCAGTTAATTTTAGAGGGTTAAATTTGTAAAAATGAGTAATATAATTGTTAATCTAATTGAAGATTTTGCAAAGTAATCATAATTTAATTGTTTTTATTTTATCGGTATGCCAATTGAATACACTACCGTCACTTCAAACGAATGAAAGTGAACCGTTTGATACACAGAAAAGTACTTTATATGCACCATCAGTTTACCTATCAAAACATATTCATTTGACATTGTAGATAATTTTGACAGACTGACTCAAATTCTATTCTCTTAAACTATTTGAACGTGATAAAACAAATACATACATTTAGTGTTACAAAATGTAACTTAAAACAGACATTTATGAACATAAGTGCTGATAGACGGTGTATTCCCTATGGTTTAATAACTTATATTGTGATTTCATTCGAACAGACAGCGTTGGAAAATATCTGATATATGGAAAACT